GCTGCCGGGGCGGCCGGCAGGGGGCGCTGCGGGGGCCGGCGGGGCGGACGGTTCAGGAGCTCCCCGCGCGGCCCTCCTGTGCCCGGGCTCCCGCGACGGTCGCCTCTTCCAACTGTTCGGGAAAGCTTCCTCCTCTTGGTGTGGAGCCAATCTTTCTTCCCCGGGTCGCTGATGCCTCCCTCGCCGCCGTTCGAGGGCTGCGGGCCTCCCGTGCCCCGCTGACTGACTGGCAAGGGCTGCCCCTCGACGGCGTGCTGCTCCCGCCCGACGACAGCCACGTCGCCAAGGCTGCAACAGAACACGCCGACGGCCGTGAGGTACCTCGAGACGCACGCCCCGAAGGAGGGGACGTGAGCTGTCGCACAGGACACACAGCCTGCAGGCAGTCCAGCGGTTTCAGCGGTGCACGTGTGCTTGACCTCGGCCCACACGCCCTGTTTACCTTGCGACTTGCACTCCTCCACCGAGGGTCTCTGCTAGTGCCTTTGAAATCTAGGAAGATCTCTGTGACCTAGAGAGGCCGTGCTTTCCTTCCTCCCCGGCCGCGTCCCCGGGAGCCGCGAGCCGACCGAGCCGGCCGCCCGCGAGAGAGCGCACGTGGGACGTGGTGCCGGGGTGGAGCCCCCGCGGCCCAAGCCCCTGCGTCCTCCAGGGGTCGGAGCTGAACGAGCCTTCACGTGATGCTCTCGGCTGACGTGGAGGGGCAGACACCGGCTGCCCTGCCCAGTCCTGCCCCGATAGCAGGTTTGTGAGTAAAATAAATGTTGGGGTTGTTTAAGCCCCTTTGTTTTGAGCACAGTCCCATTCTTCCATAATTCTCATTGCCAAATAGCTTTTCAATGATATCTGTACAGTTCTGTGAACTTTTCTGGAGAAAGATGCTTTCAAAAAGAAGGTAATACCATCAGTACTGTTCTCATACTATCACTGCCCTTACTTGTTTGGTCCACATGGTTCGCTTCTGAATCCCATCACAGTCTTGGTCTCCCTGCCCTAAGGACCAAACCGTTAAGTTTTGCGAGTGCATAGTTAAGCAAAATTCAGCCCCCAGTTTTTCTGAATGAAGATTTGGACTAAGGGAAGTAAGAAGGCAGCTTGTATTTTTAAGGAAGGCAGAAAAGTGCTCTTAGAATGTTTTAGCCTTGGGCCGGCCCGTGGCTCACTCGGGAGAGTGCGGTGCCGATCACACCAAGGCCACGGGTTCGGATCCCTATGTAGGGATGGCCGGTTTGCTCACTGGCTGAGCGTGGTGCTGACAACACCAAGTCAAGGGTTAAGATCCCCTTACCGGTCATCTTTAAAAAAAAAAAAGAATGTTTTAGCCTTATAAGGAAAGCTACTGGCTGGTAAATTTAAGTATTTTTCTGGATAATGGTAAAACCCAATACCTGCTTGAGTAGCCAGGAGGCTACTGAAAAGCTCGGGAGGTCTGGGGCCAGGAGGTCGAGGCATGGATTTCACAAGTGGAAAATCTGGGCAATTCATGATATTCCCAATTCCTTTTTTTCTACTCAGGTCCTAGCTCTTCTGAAACGCTGTGACGATATATAAAAATTATCTTGCTATTTATTAGTTGCAGAATAGACAATGATCCATGAATTTTCCTTTTTTTTTTTTTTTTAACAAAATCAATTTTCTGATACAATGTGGCCAACATAGCGCTAGGCAGGTTGATTAAAATGAGTTTCCTAATGATTTTCTGGATAAGAATAAGCAAAGAGAGATGTGGCCTTTCCATAAAGAAATTCATGTGCTTTTATGTCATGGGCATCTTTGATGAAAAGCTCATATTTCTCAGTGCTGGGAAGGTCCTCATATTTATTAGAGTCTTGTAATTTACTTGAGGGAATTGTCCTTAGGGCTAAATGAAAACCAGTATTTGTCAATGCTTACAGCTTAGGACAACACACACACACACACACATTATATATATATATATTTTTTTATATATATATATTTTATATATATATATAATGTGTGTGTATGTGTGTGTGTGTAGGAAAAGATTTGAGTATAGTCAAAGAAAAAGGCTAAATGGTAGTCTTGTTCAAGAATGTGCCTGTATCAAAATTTTATTTATTATCTTTAATTTTAATCTTTCCTTTCTTTGTGTAAATGGATCATAGACATGGGCATTTTGAGAACTTCACCTAAGTATAGCAATGCATGATCCCACTTTAGACTAATGGTTATTGAATTAATTTCTTTCCACGGGACAATTCTTAGACTACAATTCAGATTCATCTCTATGTAGGTAATGATTTTCTTGAGCAGACAAAATACAGTATGATTGACTTACATTTTTTCTTAAGTACCAAACTTTCTAATTAGAGTTATAGAGATGGAATTGCATTACAATGTTATCATTATTGTTTTCATTTCTACATGTAGCATGTATAAATTATACATCTCTTGAGATGCCAATACTTGAAATCATAAGGAATAGGAGGCCAGAGTTAATAGAAGAAAATTGTGAATTTTAAATTAATGAAATCGTAAAAACTTCTGGCATTATGTATAGGTTTCTTCATTGAAACACTTCTTACAGGTTTCTCACTGGTGAAAGTAAACATCTTAATTAACTGAGTTCAGCTTTCACCCTTTATACATCAGAAGGCTAGAAAATAGGATAGGATGATTAATTATGTTCGATGGCACATACCATTATCTGAGTATTTTACAATTAAGTTAATTCAACAGATAATGTAATAATTCTACTTTTAGAGTATCCCAAAGTGATGGAAATTATTAGATTTTTCAGTTTGTTTTGTTCAGTTCAGCTATGAAAATGCTTTCAGCTGAAAATACTAAAATCTGGTCATGGACTTGTGTTAAGTGTTGGTATTTTTGGAAACAAGAACCGAAGCCTTGAGTCATTTGGTCTTCTATGGCTGATCTTGCTGTAGACAGCTGTCACTCTGAGTTACTAACTTGTCAGAAGAGTAAGATGTGGAAGTGACCATGCAGCTCTGTGAAGGCTGCAACTGCTGCGGACTCATCTCTGTGGAGAACCAAGACCTGAGTCACCCTCTCTTCACATAGACATGTTTACTTAAGTGAGAAATTCAGCTTGACCTGAACTTCACCCTTGGTTATATGCTGCTTCTAGGCTGGAAGTGTAATTCTTGTATCTTGGAGGTCTACTCTATGCTTGTAAGCAGAAAAAAAAGCCATTTTTCCATATTTTTCACTTTTTTTCTTTTTCTTTCTTTTTCTTTTTTTTTTTGTATAATTAGAACTACCAGAGCTCAGAGGCTAGGGCCCATTGGCGACCAGCAAAACCAGCGAGACCAACAGGCCTGAAGGCTCAGAGGAGATCGACACTAGAGACCTGAGTGAAATCCAGGGGGGGTGGCTATTGTGTCCAGATTATTAAAGCCCCTCATGAGACTGAGTATGTTAACAGGTGTGCATGATATTTAGGACATGGTAATTTATATTGATGAACCTGTAGGTTGTTTTTTAGGTATTTGGAACAGCATGGAAAATAAGAAGCCATATAACATCACAAATACAATCTAAGTCCTTTGCTCCTCTTTCTGACCCCATTCCTTCCTCTCCCTTCCTCTTTAGAGGTACCCACTATCTCGATGTAGTGTTTATTCTTCCTAGGAATGTATTTATGTTTTATCACATATGTGTGTACCCAGAAATAATAACACGGTAACAGTTGTGCGTGTGTGTGTATTCACTACATCAATTCGCATAATTCATGAAATCTGATTATAAAGCAACTTCTTTTTTTGTCCCTTTACATTTATTTGTTGGGGATAGTTCTTCTCCTGCCCCTGGTGAAAACTGATTACTGTTGTCACTTTGACTAAAAAAGAACAAGCCCTGTGATCTCTTTAAGTAACAAAACATGGTCCCAATTCAGTAATTGAAATGTCCAGGGATATGTTATAATCAAAACCCACTCCTGGGGAAGGGTGCTGAGTTGGGGGCTTAGCATTGACCCCACTGGCAGACTGGGCACTCGGCAGCAGCAGTGGCTGGATCAGTCTCAGTGAGAGGAAGTCCATGGTGCTGAGCCACGAGGCCTTCACCCTTGCTGCCATGACCACTTCACATGGTCCCACTGAGCCAGCACCAGGGAGGCTGGGAAAAGAGGCTGACCAACATCCAAAGGACCTTTCACTTCCTCAATGAGAAGCTCTATGGTGCTGAGCCACGAGGCCTTCACCCTTGCTGCCATGACCACTTCACATGGTCCCACTGAGCCAGCACCAGGAAGGCTGGGAAAAGAGGCTGACCAACATCCAAAGGACCTTTCACTTCCTCAATGAGAAGCTCTCTGAAGACGACACGATCTGGTGGGCATTTACATAACGTGAATTTCTTCATGCTCTGTGCCTGTTTCTAGAGATCTGTCCATGTAGGGCTCCTCTACTCCTCCTTGCCAGCCTCCAGCATTGCCTTTCCAGGTCCCTAAGCAGCTGTCCAAGCAGTTAGCCACTCCCATGAGTCAGTGTACTGTGCTCAGGTCTCCCGATAATGCCCACCATTAGCCAAACCCTACTGGAAGCCATAGGGCAAGGGAGCCAGGCTGATGCAGTCCACACAGATTAGTCTTTCAGAACACAAGGAGCACAGAGGAGGAGAGAGGGTCTGAGGGGCAAAGGAAGGCTACCCCAGCCATCACACATGCTTGGGTCTGCGTGTAGTCTCTATTCTGTTCGGTGGTCTATGAGTCTATCCTTGCACTAGTGCCACACATCCTAATTATGACAACTTTATAACATGTCTTGCTAGTTGTAGGGCTTGTCTCCTCACCTTTTCTGGAACCAGCATGTCAAGTTCTGTAAAAGCCTTGTTGGGACTTTGATTTCAGGCAAATAAGTTTTTAAGTTCCTAACAAGTTTGTCTGCTAAATAAACCAGTCAGACTAAATTCTACCTTGTGAGCCTAAATGCCTCCTTTAGTCTCAGAAGCGGTTTTTCTTCTGCCTTGACACTTGCACAGAGCTAACATGCAGCTGCATATTGCTGACACCACACATTTCCTTAACAGAAAACTTGTGGTTACTTCAAAATCTACAAAGTACTTGGGGATACTCTCAGAAAAAAATGTACACAAGTGGTTTCCTCAGAATCTCTATCAGGAATCTGATTATTTTACACTTACAACTCTCACTGGCAGGGGTTGGCCAAGTTTTCTCTTGTCAGTTATGGCTACTGTTGGGGTTTCTGGTTGCTTAAGAGATGATTTTCCTTCTACATCATTGGAAATTAAGTGAAGATTTTTCTGCAATATTAAAAATGCCCAAAACATGCTGTCTGGCCTTTCCTTTCCTAATTGTTAACCGAAGCACTCTTCATTTTAAAATTATACATTAAGTTCTACACTTGCTTTTTAAAGCACATAATCCTCATAAGAAACACCTAAGAAAGTAGGAATCAAACTAAACAAACACATTTGTACGTTGTATGAGATACACAAAAATGTGCAAAAGTTGTGCACATCAATCTGTTAACTGGGAAAAAAAATTCCCTTTACATCTGTGTTTCTCAGTCCTTCATGTCATAGAATCTGAGCCTCTATAGCTATGATGTTTGGCATTTGATTGTTCCCTGAAGAATAATTGCCAAAACTGAAAAAATACAAATTATTATGCTCATTTCCTGGCAATAAACCAGTCTGCAAAAATAGGAGAGTACAGATGAACAGAAACATTAAGATCAAGAACGACAAATCTGATGGCCAGGACTGATTGTTAGGCCCCCTTCTCTCTGCCTTTTTTTTCTTTCTAAAGAACTCTTTGTATGAAACAAAAAGAATTCTTCAAAGACAAAGTGATTAATGAATATGAAGACTAGAGATTTCACTACCAAGGTGAAAAGTGACAGCACAAAGTTAAGGAAGTTGTTATGAGGTCAATAAATACTCATACTACTCAGACACTGTTAATAAAAAAAACCCAGAACATTCTGCTAGCATAAATTGGAATTTAATTCGACAATGACCCTTAACCAAAAATCTTTGGTAGTGCCCGATTTATAAAATTATTTTTTTGTAAAATGTAGGTTTAAAAATTTTTAAAGTAGACATTAAGTTCTATAGGGCTATCTGGTTTTAGACAGAATTTCACAGAACTTCATATCTGCACCATTTAGGTACACGAGATACAACACAGACGAGCCATAGCCTTTATTTTGGTCATACAATTCAGTCTACTCATTTTGGAGCAAAATACATGTAGTAATGTCCTCCTTAATACTACCCTAGCACTTAAGTGGTCCAGAACCTACATTTTGGCTTTTCCAATGGTTCATGGCAAATGTTAATCAGATGTTTGCTATCCTCTACACGTTCCAAGTTTTGAGCACCGGATAGTACTATTATAAAACCATTTACTCCAGCTTTTGTGGGGCGGGGAAGTATAAAATCCTTCACCCGTAAGCATTTGCAGATTAAAGCTGGTCACTGTGTAATGGTTATATTTATTTGTTTATCCTTCAACCAAGCACAAATGAAAATGGGGATCACTTTGCAGCTGGTATTTGTACTATAGAATAGACTCTGATGTCAGATTACAAGCCTGTTTGATTCATTTTATTTCATGAGTGACAAGCACATTTTTCATATCATTCTTGTAACTTTGATTTTACGTAGAGAAATTTAGTTGCAAGGATTCAAATGATTATAAAGTGTTGTTCATGCTTTTATAGGTCCTTAGAGAGCTTTGAGAAGTGGAAGTTTTCTAAAAATGAACTTTCATCAAAAGATTAAAAGAATTAAGGAGAAATATGCTTTAAACTGTTCTCCAGTTCTAACCATAGCTAGGTTTCTTGTACACACTAGCACTGTGCATGGCACAATCAAGGACAAGGTGCATGCAGGCAGCTTACCCATGGCTTGCGCTGCCCACCTACTCTGAGGCTTTGTTTTGTTGGTTTTTTGCAGCTGGCCAGCATGGGGATCCAAACCCTTGACCTTAGTGTTACAAGGTGCACTCTAACCAACTGAGCTAACCAGCCAGTGCTATGCTAAGAGGTCTGAAAGAAATTCCTTTCCTTTCCCTGGGAATTCCTGATCTAGGACAGAAAGGTCTCTAGCCTCTTTGAGTAGTTATCTCTAGGCAAGAGCTCACTCTAGTGGAGAGCCAGAGGTATCTTCTCCAGTTTTACCAGACTTTATAAAGGAACAATACAAGTCACTGTCTATCAATAAAGTCAAACAACCTCCTGAGCTGACTCAATTTACAGCTTATTCATTTCAAAATATGTGAGTGCTAAGCACGTGTAGCACTGTGTATGATGCTTGGAATTTGGGATAGATGCACTAATATTCTGGCTTCTTCTATATGAAATTAAAACAACAAAAAACAAAGCAAGTTACTCTTGAGAAACTATGACTTTAGCTTATGCTAGGAGCCAGGGCCAAGTGGAATACTGAAGGAACTTAATTGAGGTGTTATGACCTCTTTTTTGACTACTGGCTACATGAATATTATTTATTATTAGTTTAATGGGAGAGGAAAGAAAAAAAATAGAAGAAAAAAACATGAACAAACACTGGATAGGAAAGAGAAGCTGAAAATTTTATATAGAAAAATAAACTTATAACAACAAAAAAGAAACAAAAGGAGAAAAATAAGTTCACAGAAGAGAAAGTCATAATATATTGTACCTTAGCTGTTAATCTCTACCAATCTACCTTGCTTTAAAAAACTGAGTCAGGGCCAGCCCGTGGCTCACTTGGGAGAGTGTGGTGCTGGTAATACCAAGGCCACAAGTTCGGATCCCTATATAGGGATGGCCGGTTGACTAACTTTGGATAGCATGGTGCTGACACCACCAAGTCAAGGGTTAAGATACCCTTACCAGTCATCTTTTTTTTTTTTTCCTTTTTGTCTTTTTTCGTGTCCGGCAACGGATCGCAACCCTCAGTGTCGCGCCCGTACCGGACCGGGACCGGCAACGGGATCGCAACCCTCGGTGTTGCTCCCACACCTCGCTCAGCCAGTGAGTGGGAACCGGTCTGTATGTGGGATCCGAACCCTCAGCCAAAAAACTGAGTCATCAGATGATCCAAATGATCCAACATAACAACGGATACCTTTTTCTTAATGAAACATTCCAACATCTTATTTCTTTAAATGAATACATTGTTTTACTATTAGGGACTATTTCTTGATTGTTACCTATGCTACCATATCTGCTTAAGATAAAGCTTGTAAGAAACTGAAAGGTATGAAAAACACTAAGCTACAATGTACCAGTGTTTCTAGTAGTATTGTCTACCTGCCATTTTTTTTTTTTCCTGCTGGCCAGTACAACGATCCAAACCCTTGAACTTGTTGTTATGACACTGCTCTGACCAACTGAGCTAACTGGCCGGTCTCCATCTGCCAGATTTAATGCCATATCATTTGCCACTTTACCAAATCACATGAAATATGACAAAGGAGCAATTTGTTTAAGAAAAGTTTTACTAATGTGTTAATATTTCAGCAAGTCTCCATCTGCCAGATTTAATGCCATATCATTTGCCACTTTACCAAATCACAAGAAATATGACAAAGGAGCAATTTGTTTAAGAAAAGTTTTACTAATGTGTTAATATTTCAGCAAAGTTATTGCAACAAGTTTAAAAGGCAGACAGACACACTATTACAGGCTACAAAGTAACAGGAGTTTTACACAATTAAAATATTACACAGACCTATGGGA